ACTTTCCTTCACATAAATATGTTGTGAAACCTTTTGGGGATATTATACACGACGACCAGCCGATGCTCTCGAAATCAATAGAGAGCTGACGACCGCTGCAGACGCTGTTTGGCGTATAAGAAGAAGGAGAAGATGTGCCACCATTTGATGGCACACTATCTGACACTATAAATGATTGATTGGTTGCTGTGAGTGATGGGTCCGGCGATGGATTCAAGTCTTCATTCAATTCAATCGCATCCGAGTTCTCGCCATTCAGTGCTGAGAATCCGTAATCATATTTACCTAACGTTTCGCATACAATACAATAATTGAATTTCTATTTTTAAAAATTAATATTAATTTTAAAGATTTTAATATTAATACTGTTTGAGTGTAAACTAAGGCCCTGTAAATGCGATTCAAATATAGTGTATACATCTCTAAATCAATAAATATTAATATTGCTTGAGTAAATAAACTTATTCTTATGAATATAATTATAATGATATTATATAATGGGTATACTTATTGTACAGTATACAAACTTATAAAATAAATATTATTAATGTCTATTTTTGTTCACATACAGTATATTATACAGTAATTTCATTAGTGAATAAGACTTTTATCTATTTGCACCTAAAAATTCAAATATTTTGGGAAACTGATGAGAAATAATTTAATTTAAAATTTATAAATGTTAAGTATTTATGTTTTATATTGAATATCGCATTGAATGACTTACTATTGAATTCTTTGAGTTTATTAGACGAAGAATTTTGTTTGTGGTCTGAAGTGAAGACAACAATCATCGGCTGTTTATTCATATGATTTCGATATCTGTTTGCGAATCGGATTTCATTTTTCACATTTTCGTCGAGAAGTGTTTTGACAGATATTTGAAGGCCTATTCAATGATCATTCAAATATAGAAAAATAGTTTTTAATATATTTTTATAAGGAAATAATATATTTTTATAATATGCACATAATACTTTTGAAATGTGAAATGTTTACGTAGGTTTAATTTAAA